AATGCCACTACTGAATCTCATTTAAAAATTCTATTTTAATTTAAAATAATTATATATTTTATTGCCTAAAATAATAACTTTATTTTTGTTACTAAATAACTCGAATCTATAATTTTTGAAAAATCTTTTTGAACCTAATAAAGGAGTTTTGAAATATTCGTGTATTAATCGGAATCTTGTGTTATTAATTTTAATACATAGCAGCCAACGCGGTCACGGTTCATGAGATAATTTAACCATTTATTTTGGCGGCACTAATTTTTAGTGATAGTAATGCTCATGCAACTAAAATATTTTCTGAGCAAAGCGTGGAAGAGCAAATAGCAAAAATAACTATGGAGCATCCTCGGCATCGTCATCGTCGTTTACTAAGCAGTATTTAGAGTTCTCCCTCCCCCCCTCCCCATGGAGAGAGAGACGATCGTCGATCTATTTACGCGTTTCTGGGCGTCTCGGAATTTTGGACGACGAAATTAAGCGGCGGTATCATCGTGCAAATTAAATTCCTACGCGCGCCGACCGTAGCCGGTCTTCTACTCGTGGCCGAATATAATTCGTCGTGCTTATCGATCGATCGTTGAGAGGTTCGTCGTCCGATTTCGACCGGAATTCTCCGCTCTTTCAAGAGGAAGCCTCACCGTGATTTAAGACGCTTATGATATATACCCCAGCCGTCGAATTAATATTCAATGCCTGTCGGGCTATTTTATTCGCGCAACAATAGTACCGGTTTGTTTCAGCATGCATCATTAATACATGTCAGATCAACGATAGTTCCGGTTGAAAAAAATAGAAACAAGTAGAAATGTCATAATTATTTCAATGTTTTTTTTTTATTTTGCTTTTAATTATTGTACAATGCGATTATATTATATCCATATCAATATTTTTGATTTAGATTTGGGACATCTCACATAATCGGACCAGTCTGCAGCGGCGGCTCTTCGTCATCGAGCGAAGTTCACATTTCTTCCTTCCTGGCGCCACGCGACACAGCTTTATCTCAGTGGTGAGTAATTCATCGTATCTGCTTAAGTCTCGGTTTCCCGTTCATTATTCCTCGCAATCGGCTTTCAGCGTCAGCCGCACGATTTCCGCAGAAATTTCGCATGTATTTGCACATCGTTACGAAGTAGCTCGTATCTGACTGTGGAATTAAGTGGAACTTTACGCGCGTATATCATTCTTTTATTTGACGTATCGTTTATTATTAATTATAAAAAACTTAATTCTAAGAATATTATATTGGAAAATTAAATCCGTATCGTAGAATATTTGATGTATAAGTCAAGTGTAACTTCATTATTTTTTCGGGTTTTAAAGATGTTAGGTAATGCGCAGTATCAATTTGGATTATCATGTGGTTAAGCTTTTTAAATCTTTATGCTTTTTGACTACCGCGATTTCTAAGAAGATTATGAAACTTATTGTTGAAATTATTATCGATCATGGGCTTAACTTACAAATCTTATAGTGGAATAGTTCTCCTTTATCGGAAACCCCCTGATTTCTCTACACTCAACACTCTTACGGATGGGGGACGCTTACGCTTCTCGTGAGGATACCATGGGGACGAATGAAAACATTTCTTCGTCCGCGGGCAACCGTGACGATTCGATTTTCAAAAGCCCGTCACGTAAGACGAGAACCAGACGAAGTTAGGCAACAAGTGGAAGATAGGACCGACAGGAAAAAGAGGCAGGCAGTATCGCCCTCGCGACCCTCGTTGAAGTTTCTCCTCTCTCCCGTCATCTTTTGTTATGGCTTGTAGCAAGCTGAGAGCTACCCTATCGCTGGTGAAGTTGTTGATGCTTTTTCTACGTCATTTTTCATCTTACATTCGATCATATCTTAAATGATACGCCATGGATATTTTTCTGAACGTCTACATAATTATTAAGAGAATTCCGGAAGAGAATAGCTATTAATGAACGTAATTAGGCGCGTTTAAAACATTCAGCTTCTTATTATTATCAAATTATTTTCTATACGATTATCAAATATACGGTAATTGTTGCATGAAAGTGTAACAAAAGTTTTGCATTGATTTAAAGTTTATGTGGAAATTTTATAAAGCTGGAAGTTTAGAAAATAATAGGAAATTTGGCAAAATCGATTGCGAATATAAATTGTATATAATATAGGGATCGATAATATTCCACTCGGTTGGTGAAAAAGTGGTCATGTTTTTTGTAGAATATAAAATTTCCATAAAACCAATAATGCAACGCTATCGGATGACGGAATTTACGATAAATATTTTCAACAAAATCACTTCCCAGACACACATATAACTTGGCTCGATGCAGATTCAAACGTCAGAGATATTAATTTTTAATTTTTGCATCTCAACCAACGAGTTTCGATTCGGTTTTCCTTATTCACCTTATCAGTGATGATCACGTAGGCTAAAGAATGCTACTAGACGTATTTTAATACGAAATAATTTATTTTAAGAGACCTTGAATCTTAAAGAGCTATAAAATTGCATTTTTGTCACTTTGAATCGATTGTAAAATGACCTCTTTTTTTTTTACATCATAGATAAAACACAAATCAGGCTCATTCTAGATTAGTGCAGTCAACCAGGTTTAAAACTATTTCTAAGCTTAAATCCGGTGTTTCTTTACGCTTTTTAATTCGCTTTTTATTTCTTTACTTGGCGTTTTCGATCCGGGGCAATCGGGACGGGCCTGTGTATCCTGCCGATTGTGTGTCGAAAAGCGATGACCTTTACTGGAATCCAGTCTCTTTCTCTCTCTTCGCCCGTCGGCGTTGCATCGCGACCGAAGGAAGAGCAGCCTCTCCTCGAGAGCGATTACGCCACCGCGCGCTCCTCTCGGTCTGCGCCACACCACAGAAGCGCCTCGGAAGCCCAGAGGATGCACAAAGTAGAAAGGACGGAGAGTGGAGAACGCCGACGATGACGACGGCGGCGAGAAGGTGGGCCGAGGGAGAGCGGGAGGAAGGGTGTTTCAACCGTCGTCCCGGATGTGCAGCATCATTACACGGCATTCTTTGGTGATGCAGGCGTCCGGGATCTCTCTCTCTCTCTC